TAGAGTTCCGCAATTGTATTCCAGTTGGGTTGTAAATAAATAATAAAAATCCATATTAAATATCTGAACCGTATTTTGGATACATATGTGAAATAAGTTAATGGGCCTGAATCCATAATTATGAATAGAATGTGAGATTTAAAAGTTAGGCTTACTACGGGCTTCGGGGGCCTTAAGCCTATTCAGGCTCTAGTGCCGGTTCAGCCCACGGAAATGGGTCGTGACAGAGAGTCATAAACAAATAATTATATTATTACAAAATAATGGTAACCAGAGATATTATTTTGTTATCTAACAACTTTACAAAAAATAATAGTTTTACAAAATATTATTAAAAAATAATAAAATAGTTATCTTTTTATAAATATAAAATATTAAGAAATATGACATAATATTGATGAAAATATTATTATTTTGTAATAATTATTTTAAAAATAATTATCTTTTACAGAATAATTTAAATTATTATAAATTATTATGCGTTTAAAAATTTAATTGTCTTAATTCTCATTCAACGCGTTATAGAAAATGTCATTCCCAAAACGCAATTAGGGTAGACTTAGTAATAATTTAATATTAAATGTGTACAAACAAAATAACCCAAATTTCCACTTCTCTTTTCCTCCCTCGGCTACTTTCCACCGTTCAAACATCAGCTTGCCCATCTTCTTTTGTACGCAAAGATTTACTCATTACTCGTTGACTGCGCCCTTATTATTGTAGCGATAATTTTAGCACAGTACCTTGACTAAATCTACCGGCGGTTGAGGTGAAATTTCCTTGTGAATCTCGGTTAATTGAATCTCAGTTCAAGAATTATACGTGCCCCATAACAACAATAAAATATGGTGAAAGGACAGATAGTAATATTCTGTTAGTGGGCGATACGATGATGTAACGTGTTGATGATGTCATGATTATTAAATTTCAGGGCAATTTTATGTTAGCAACTAGTTATATGGTAAAAAGTCCATTAATTATCACCGAATCAGCTGCCATGTCATAAAAATTGAATCCCACTAGTTTGTCACGTCAACTGGAGACACATAATTGTAATATTTTATAAATTTAGACATTTTGTAATATTTTATAAATTTAGACATTCAATCATTGTTGTTCTTCGTTGAGACATCAAAATAGAAAAGACATAGAAAGTTCAGACACTAATAATATAATTATCCTTTGAAAAATTAATACTAGTGGAGTAATCTTAGCTCACGGGAAAGAAAATGAACGCCTTGAGGAAGGAATAATTGATTTCACTGCAGAATGAAGCAGAGAACTTGAGGAACTTAAGATAATACATCCTCTAAAGGTAATTTAATAATATATTAGTTGAAAAAATAAAGGTAATTTAATTTTAATTAGTTATTAATTTGTCTATTTAAAAAATTATAAATTTTTTAGTATAATAATATTTAAATATAAAACTTTATATGCAATTTATGTGAGTAGCAAAATATGATTAAAGTTTGTTTTATTTTAAATAATATATCCATTTTATTATACTATTTATTTTTAAAATATGATAAGATTATAATAAATATATGATAATAATATAATTAAGTATACCAAATGAGCACCAAAAGGATTTACACAAGTACTATTTACAATTGACATTGATTATATTATTTTATTACTAAAATTTCATTACGTTGGTTGAATTAGCTGTAAATAAATAAAACCAATATTTTTTTTACAATTAAATATATTTTATTAAGGGTAATATAAATATATTAAATTAACTATATATTGAGAATACTAATTAAGAAGTTTTGTTCCATTCTAATTAGGAATTACTGAATTAGAGTCCTACTGTAGAAAAACTTTGTCCTATCATATATATATATATAGTTTAAATTACTTTTGGTATCAAGAATTTGTTTATTTTTTTTATCAATAATTTTTGGTTTTGCTATCAAGAATATGTTCTTATTGTCTTAATAATTATTTTATATGTAACTGTATATGCTACATAATTACATTTTTTTTAATACTTTTGTGGGAACGACGGTATGAAAGACTAAACTGATATTCAACGTGATGATTATGGCAAAAATAATGAAGTATTAGAATGTTAGTCACAAGAATGGATTATTAAGAAAATAATATTAGTTGATTTTAAGATAAATATTATATTTTTATTATCTATTTATTTTATTTTTATATTTTATTTTAGAAAATATTTATTACATTCTCTAACATTCAAACTCTGAATTCAAGAAAATAAATAGTTGAATAAAAATTATATATCAAGTTAGCTAATGGATTTAATTATTTACAATATTGAATGTTCAAAATATTAATAAAACAAATGGCTAAGAATAAGGTAAAATATTCATAATATCAATTAATGATTTCATTATAATATATCAGTTTAGATACACTTAGGTTTCATATTGACACGCTTTAGTTATTGCTAACAATAGTTTCAGCTCGAATTTCACCAAATCTCATAAATTATATATTAAATTAAGAAAAATATTATAAGAACTATGAATTTGATTGTTAATTTTACATTTAATTAACTATTTGGCCAAAATTAACCTTAAACCATAATTCCAAGAACCCTAGCTATGACTAGACTCAAATTGTTCCATGAAACTTAAAATTAATTGAGGAAAATGGTGAATTAACAAGAGGTTTATAGATATATAAAAGTTAAAATATAAGTGAGAACAACGAGTAACATACAATAAAAAAATATGAATGAGAACAACGAGTAACATATAATAAAAAGATATGTATGCGTAAACGTAAAAATTATCAAGACAAGCAGTTATTAAATCAAACAAATTTACTATAAAAAATTAAAAAAAATTAATAATAAATTATGATAATTAAAATTATGGATAATTAAAAATTAGATTTAAAAAATAATTAGTATATATAATATAAAAAAGTAAAAAAACTAATTTTCAATTAAAAACAATAAGCACATGTTGAAAAAACTACTATTTATAATATAGTAAATGTATAATATTAAAAATGATAATATATTACATAAAGTGTAATATTCCATATTATTATGGTAATTACAATATAATAGATTAATTTGCTATTTTGATGATACATAAATAAGGTATATATTAAATATATAAAAATATAATATTATTTTTAAGAATTTTAATGTTATTGGTTATAAAATAAAATAAATTTAATTTTGAGTAGTTATATTATACTAAATAATATACATATTAAACATGGTAAGTACATAATATGTTTAATTATCAATTTTACTAAATTTTTAATTTGGTTATAATTATTTTCTACAAATAACTCATTTTACAAAAAATAAATGTAATTTATTAGTTTATTAAGGAATTTACTATAAGATTTATTGTTTGATATAAAATAGAAAATAAAACTCACCAGAAATATATACATATAATATAAAAATTATGACATAACATATTATATTTAGTAACCATTGTAATATATGAAATATATTGAAAGAATTTTTTTCTAAAAAAAATAACTATAAAATTAATTATATGTTCAGCAAAAAATTAAAAAAATTATAAATGACGTTCTACAGTAAAAATTGATATATTAAATTTTATAATAACTAATCATGATTTCTCACATTTAGTAATATAAATAGTTCATGGTATTACATTATATATTAAAAAATTAAGTTAATTAAAATTAAATTGTTTTATCAAAATTTAAATTGATTGATAAGCAATTTTATTTTCATTAAATTTGGTTGTCAAATTATATCAATGTTTTATTATTATAAATATATAATTTCGTTAACAAGTTATTTATTTATTGAAATTTTATATCAATTTTATATAAAAACTTCCTTTTTGCTTTTGCCAATCACCAATGGCAAACCTAAGTAGTTCGAGTAACATGATGCTTTACAAACATCAAGTAAATTACAAATAGTCTCATGCATAACTCAATATGTATTAGCACTAAAATGAACCTTAATTTACTAAAATTCACCTATTGTCTTAAGGCATATTAACTGAGAGACAAATAATATTTAATAATAAAAGCTTTCGACACTTGTACCTGAAAGAAATAATACGTCATCCACAAATAATAGGATATGCAATAAAAGGTGCTTCTTGAGACAAACTACAAATTTGAAATGAGGTAGTATAAAGTGGTACTTTATAAGCTGGGGAAGGTCGAGTGAAAATAAACCGATCTACGTACATATAATAATTTTTATAATTTTATTTCAACCAAAATTTAAAAGGAAAAACAACTCTCTTTCTCTGCAACTACGAAATAGATGTCTTAAACAAGATGCGTATAATATATTTACGAGGGAGTTGGCATTTTTAGGTTTTGGTGTGAGCCAATAGAATGGCCTCCACGTCGCAGTCCCTTCGCTTTCTAGCTCCTGCCTCCGCCGGTCCCGGTGGCGGCAGCTTTGATGCTCTCAATCGCATACTTGCAGACCTCTGCACTCGTGGCAACCCCAAGGTATTGCCAATTTTTCCGTCTCTTCTTCTTCTTCGTTTTCTTTCTTTTTGTTTTGAAATAACACTGACTAAACAATGTTTCATTCAGTTACCCATGACTTTACTTACAATCTTATCAACAACATTACATAATAAAATGATTCTCGAATCAGAAACATATATAGACATCCTGTGTAAGATTTGAGATGAGAGAAAAAAAAAAATATTAAAGCGTGAGAAGTATAGAGAAGATGAATGAGAGGAAATTTTTGAGAGGCATTCACCATGCTAACACAATATTAATTATTAATTTCTTCAGTCCGGCATGCAACCTCGGTTGTTAGGTGCACTTTGATGGAAACTGATTAGAAGAGAGTTTAATGTTAAAAAATAGAAATTGAGATTATTTTAAGTGACAAATTTAAAATGAGGTAGCATAAAGTGGTACTTTATAACGTATGTACATATAATAATTTTTATAATTTTATTTCAACCAAAATTGAAAAGGAAAAACAATTCTCTTTCTCTGCAACTACGAAATAGATGTCTTAAACAAGATCCGTGTAATATATTTACGAGATCCGTGTAATATATTTACGAGGGAGTTGGCATTTTTAGGTTTTGGTGTGAGCCAATAGAATGGCCTCCACGTTGCAGTCCCTCCGCTTTCTAGCTCCTGCCTCCGCCGGTCCCGGTGGCGGCAGCTTTGATGCTCTCAATCGCATACTTGCAGACCTCTGCACTCGTGGCAACCCCAAGGTATTGCCAATTTTTACCGTCTCTTCTTCTTCTTCGTTTTCTTTCTTTTTATTTTGCGGGGAAATGAAGTGAGAGGGAGACGGAAGGGTGAGAATTGTGCTTCTGAGAATTGTGCTTCTGTTTGCATTTTGGTTGCGAATTGCGGATTAGTGATGGAGTTAGTTTGGAGTGGAATAAACAAGTGAAGTTAATTTTGGAGTTAGACTTGGTTCCCGGAGGTTAGTGTAAAATATTGTTGAGCTTCTCTGTTTGACAGTCGAGAAAGTGGTGGAAAAACAGTGACAGTGAAAATCAAAATAGTTCTATATCTCTTTCTCAATTAAGGATAAACTAGCTTGAAATGAGCTTGTAGTTGTGTTTTGTTGAGTTTATGAGTACTGGTTTTAGGATTTTATGCTACTTTACTTGAAAATACAATGCAAGAAAGAGAAGTGGACAGATGTTTCAGCTTTTCGTTTTGTTGCTTTCTGTTGAATTAATTGTGTAATTTATGTTGGCGCTTTATATTAGCTTCTTGAGAACTTGCTATCTGCCTGATTCAAAGTATGTTATTTATTTTTATTGTTTATGTATGGTATTTAATTTCTGGGCTTTGGTGGATAAATGTTGTGCTATATACAGGAAGGCACATCAATGGCCTTAAGAAAACATTTGGAGGAGGAAGCCCGTGATCTTAGTGGAGAAGCTTTTTCCCGTTTCATGGATCAGTTATATGAAAAGATTTCAAGTCTGCTAGAAAGTAACGAAGTTGCTGAGAATTTGGGAGCCTTAAGAGCTATTGACGAGTTGATAGATGTGGCACTTGGCGTTGATTAGAATGTGGCAACTTAGGCCGCAGAATGCCTCTAAAAAGTCTCTAAATTTTATTTATATGCGTAATCGTGATTTTGAAGTAAAAACGAGTGGAGCGTGGATGTGTTGACCCTTGACTAGTAGGGGGTTCTGGCCCAGTTGGCTAGCGGCTGGACGGGCAATGACTGCAGCATGAGCGGGAACTTTTCAGGTTCATTCTAGCTTTATTTAATTGTTAGTATTTCTGCTTTTGCATTTTCACCTTACATTGCTTTTTGTCATAGGTGAAAAATGGCAACCTAGACTGGGCCTTCTGCAATGTAGAGGCAAGAAGTATCGTCTTTTTGCTGGCCAGGTCTCAATCTTGAAAAGCTATAGTACTATTTTCCCTCACCCAACATTATTGGAAAAAAACATTTCTTTTTTTTTTTTTCCTTGCTTACTCCAGTGTTTTAGTTGGAAACTAAAATTGTCTTAGTCGGAAACTCAGTTGTCTCTAGTCAACATTTTCTTCTCGATTTTCAAGTAATATCTTCCCTATGTCGAGACATATACTTTCTGCATTTTGACCATGGCAGGAAATCGGCAGAAAATGCTTTCCACAGTATTCAATGTTCAACTGACCTGGAATTTGTCGCCGCTATCTGGGTTGCATTGAGGCATCCCAACCACTGGGAGGTTAGAGAGCGAGCTTGTTGAGGGCCTTTGCGTCTTGCCTTCGACTTATCTGAAAAGCGTGAGACACGTTGGCCTGTGCATGGTTAGTACAGTTATGAAAAATATTTCAATCCTGTGAAAGTAAATATAATTTCAGGCATATACAAGAAGTTCTTACTTGGGCATTGCTTGACCTGTCCCTATTCACTGGCCACTTCATTTTGGAAAAAAAAAAAAAAAAGGCGCAAAAAAATAAGAGAGCTCCGGAAGCTATTTGATGCATGTTTGAAGGATGCAATTGGTAGAAGAGAAAGGAACTCTCATTAGTTTTCCTGTTTAAACAATTTACCACTCATTGCACTTTGCATTTGGCAGCTGGAAAATTGAGAAGTTATCCAGGAGAGGCTTCATTTAGAGAGCAGGGATAAATGAATTTAAATAACATTTGGTCAAAATTAGACGTGTTTGCTTTTTCACTGTTGAAAGCTGAGTTTAGGATCCAAGGACTCAAGAGTCTTATGTCTGGAAGATTTTCCTTTTTTTGACATTTTCCATAGGTTTGTCTATGTCCTATATAGATCCCATATGCTTTGGCTGGTAAATTTGATGCATTGATGATGGAGGTTAAAACTGGGAAGAGGATAGACTAGAACCATATGGAAGGAAGTTGCTCAAAAGATTTTATTATTCTGACGTTTAATGGGACTTGGATATGAATAGAATGGAATAAGAAACAAAGGATCATATAGCCACTCCAAAACTAGTTTGGTTAAGGTTAGTTGTTTGTTAAAGATGAGGAAATATTGACCTTAATAAGGACACCAAAAATTTTCCCAATTTATAGTGAAATACAAGATTATCACACAACAAAAGGTAAATTCTGGGTGGTTATTAGTGATGAATAGTTCTCTAGGAATCTAGTCAAGTGGATTGGCTTTATAGCTTTTATGTTCTCCGCGCGGTTGTGCTCTGGTACTCAAATGTTGAACCTGAGGTTAATTAGTAATGATTCATTGATCTTGAAAGACGAGGTCTAATACAAAAAAACCAAAATATGGAGAATAATTTGGGCCTGGGCCCATGACCAAGATAACTCAAAGTTAAGAAAATGAAGGTTGTGCGATTTTGTGGTTCAAGCGATAAAACGAAGCCTGCTCGTCTGGGAAATTCTGAACCAATTGGAAAAGATCTTGACAGGACTTTTGTGCTAGGTTTGTTACTTCTTTGATTATACCCACCAAAATTGATAAGAAGCTGCTTATTCTGCCCCATCTGAATGGGGGGAAAACAGAGGTCATGAGGAAAAGCCTCAGCAAAAAAATCCTCATTTAGTTGAATGACATATTTGGTTTGTAAGGTCTATATCGGTATATTCCGATCTAAGGAAAAAATTGTCCTCCTTGGATTTTGATGGCTATCTCTGTGGTCCTTATGTAAGAAAAAAGTGGTTTCCTAATTGGGGTTTGGTTGACCTTGCTGCTTGCATGCTTGTGGATTTACTTCCATGGCTTCTGTTCTGTAGATGCATTATCTTGTGGACAAGAGTAAAAAATCTAGTATATTGCTTTTCTTTTCGAAAGGAAATTTATGCTCTATTGAGTAATAAATTGCTGTTTTGGTTTTGCTTTTTGAACAGGTATATCGTATGTTCGAGGCCACAACCAGGATGGGTTGGGTAAAAAATGCCCCTGTTCACCCAGTATACATGGCTCTTACTTGCAGTTGAGAAGAGCTTTTGGGGTAACGTTAATATTGCCCTCATTTCTTTTTCTGAAACAGTTTTTTGACCTTTTGCTTATGGACTAATTTAATTTTTGGTATTAAGGAACATTCTGTGTGTGAGAAATTTATTCCAGTTTTTGAAAATGTTGTTGAGATTGGAAATTTGGTTTCCCTAGTCATTTTAGGGCTGGGAAATTGAGAGGCCATTTGGGAACAATAACCACTATTTCTTTATGGAGTTTCTTAGACAGATGTTCAGCGTCTTGTTATCATGGCTTCAAAGAATAAACAAAAAATCATTTGGAGGCCCATTAGGCCCACAGTTCACCTTTTATATTTTAAATAAAAGTTTACCACTTTAATTAGTATTACTTCCTCAGATAATCATTAATTTATTTATACTGTTTAAACTTCACAGTATTGACAAGGTGTACATTAATAAGTATAGGTTTAGTTCACTTATAACCTGGAGTTCATGCGGTTCCACAGTCCACCATAAACAGCTTTCCTTTAGAAAAGAATGGGGATACGTGTATGCATCCAACCCTCCTCAGATCCACACAATTTGGGATTACTTTCATGCACTGGCCTCTCGCTTTTTATATATGCTCTAAGTCAATCCAAAATGCGAGTTCATTAGCATATTTTTCTAATTTGTACCCTAGCCATCACAGTCTATATGGCTTCGATACTGGCGGGACATTGTGATAACAATTTTACTGGAATCTTGGGTGGTACCTTTATTAATGGCGGGGAGTTTAAGGACCTTATTTTGAAAACTTACATCTCAATGTTGTTATGCATCAAGGATTAATAAGTTATATTGATGTTTGATTTATTTTAATTTTGAAGGCAAGCGGACCCCCTTCTTGTTGGCTCCTGGGTTTAGTTTGTCTCAAATTGTAAGCTTATAGTTCATCGGTTCTTTTCATTTTGTTTTGTTAGATGTTTGGCCTTAGGGATCAGACGTTTGATGACATGATGGTTTATGATCTAACAGGGTCTAGGGAAGAACCTCTTCTCCTCCCTGCCCCCCTCCTCTCTCTCTCCCTCTCTCCTTTCCCTTGTCTCAGGATGTCTTCTATGTATGTGAATTATGCTTGGTAGTGGTGCTTTGAAGTGGAGGTTCAATCTGATTTGGCATTGTGAGAAAACCTATGAGTCTGAGAGCTGACTTGTAGTTGTAAGAGATTTGGTAGTTTGCCTAAGAAGTATGCTTTTGAGGAATCTTACATTTGATGCTCCAATTTACTTGGTTAATTTTCCAATGAGCTCATTTTCTCCAACTATAAATGGATTTTTTTTTTGTTTTAGTTGTTTGGAGGGATGCTTTGGAGTTATTATTTTGACTTGTGTTTGATAATTCTTATCACATGAGACGGGCTCATACTTCTCTGGTTTTTTGAGAATTTGGTTTCTTTTCATTCTATCTTTTGACAACTGATTGGAGGAATGTGGGAAATGATGCTGAATTGACAAGGTTGATAAGACTTTTTATGCTTGGTGAAATTTAAGTTTCTAAAAAGTAATTTCGGAATTTGAAATTTAAAATTATGAGGACATCCGAAAATCTAAATCCAAGAAGTATTGGATATCCTTCAAGCAAATTTGATTAGTTGAATATATTGGAGTAAATAGGATTTAACCAGAACAGTGTTGATTTTCTTTCTTTAGCGATTGTTCAACACTGTGTTATTATAACAGCCTAATAGATGGCGCCAAGCATATTTCTGTTTGCTCTTTTAAGGGATATTGCTCCTGGGTTGGAGTCTGACAGTGTCCATAATTCTCCATTTAAATATATTATTGCTTATATCTTACATGGTATCTCACTAATTTTTGATTAGGTTTAAAATTATAATTTTAGTAAGGATTCTATAGCTTTGATTTGGTCATAATAAATAAAAGTTTCGGAATATTTATTTAAATACTTTTCATTTTCATAAACAAAGTTTTATTACAAGCCATACTTTTTTAATTCATTGGAGTCTTTTATGGACCCGGAAATAACACTACGGGCTACCCAACAGAAGGTGGTTCTTCCCCTTAATTTACCAAAATTGTGAAAACAAATCTATTTCGCGATTATTTGTACAATTGCACTTACGGGAATACAATCCTACTAAAATATAAAATTATTTAACTTTATTTTTGTTTCAAATTAAAAGGGGGACTAAATTACATTAACCTATCTCCGTGAAATTTAAATTCCACCATAATTCTCAACATTTATCATTGCTAGCGTTTAAACATAAATTGCAAAATGAAGCACAAACATTTAATCGACAGTATAAAATATAATTAGAAGAAATGGATTTCTACACCAGTTTCAATTGATTTAAAATTAAAATTTAAATCAGTTAAATATTTCCTCATCCTCTTCATTAAGATGGTAAAACTTATTTTCATGCCACCAATCACTATAGTGTCCATATAGCATAAGGGTCTAAACTTAGTTGAATATATGTGGAGAAAATAGGATGTAACCAGAAAGCTGCTTGATTTTCTTTTTTAGGGATTTTCAACAGGTGTGTTTGTTTTTTTATTTTACAAATTTTTTCACTGGTTGAAATTTAAAACTAGATAAAAAATGTTATACTATGTTTGCACAGAAACTGCAAACGTGAAGCCGTGGAAACGCGGAA